GTGATAATGGTAGGAGGGGTGAAATAGTCCCCGTACCGGTCGAAAGGACCTAAAGGGTAGGCCAGCACCCAGATATGCTAGGCAGTATGTGATTTATGTGTATATGCTAGGGTATTATGTGGTAGTGGTAGGGGTGAAATAGTCTCCGATACCGGTTGAAAGATACCGAAGGGTTAGGCCAGCACCCTGATATGCTAGGCAGTTACCGGTTGAAAGATACCGAAGGGGTAGGCCAACACCCTGATATGCTAGGCGGTTACCGGTTGAAAGAGACCGAAGGGGTAGGCCAGCACCCGGATATGCTAGGCAGTATGTGTATTGTATGGTATGTGGTATGATGGGGGAGCTCACTAAGCTTCGTGCTTACGGTTTTCAGTTTTGGTTACAACTACTTCTTCTTAAAAAGGAAAGGAGTCGGCATGATCGCAGCGCATCACACTATGGTTTTCCGCATATGAGGTCTTTGGGAATTGTTCTCTGATAATATTTTCTATGACATGCTTTGGTTAATTAACATACTGGTTTTGTTATGGATTGGTACTGATGATGTTTCAGACTACTGGTTTTTATAATTACTTATTTAAAAATGAAATTTTTGGTCTTGGATTTTGGGATGTTACAAGTTTCATGTGGAGTACCCATGAAAATCGCAGAATGGGAAGGCACCATTGACTTGGTAGTCGTACCCATGGACGACTACAACATGGTATTAGGAATGGAATTCCTAGACGAAGTACGTACATGGTCATTCGAAAATGATAACACTATATGTATTACTAAAGGTACAATCATTCACATCGTACCTTTGGAAAGGAGTAGTACAAGGTTTCGAACGCTATCGACTATGAAGTTTAACAAAGACCTTAAAAAAGTCGTTAAGATAAGGAACAATACCCTAAGTTGGAAGATGGAACATAATTCACTAGCGACTAGTAATCATGATGATCGAATCAAGAAGTATGTGAGACCAAACAACATAGTTCAAGGTATCGACACATGTCGATGCGAGATGGGGTCGCGATCAACCTTGAGCATTGGTCCGATATTCCATGAGGCTACAAGAAGACCCAAAACAGGCAAGGAAGTAAGAACACAAGTGACACCTCACCTAAAAAATCGCTATACAAGAAGACTTGACATGGACGTCAAGGGTTTAAGTGGGGGAGGGTGTCATGGACCAAATTTCTGGAAAATTCCACGATCGTATAGCTAGAGAACTCCGGAACGATCAAGTATACTCGAGAAGTCTCCGGAGAGATCTAGAATGCTCTATGAGACCCTGGAAGATGCTAGAATATTATAGATCTCCGTGGAACAAATGAGAATGATCTTGAATAATCAAGAGAGCACTAGACGAAGCTAGAACGACCCGGAAGACTTTGGAACGATCTAGAACAAGCTAGATCATACAAGAGTGATTTGGATATATTTGAGACGACCTAGAGATTTCTAGAGCATCGTAGACAAGTATACCATATTCTAGAGTCTTATAAAGGCCATGTATATAATAAGAAGAGTCTAGAGTAGTCAAGAATGATTGGGACCTAGAAACTTCCATTTGAGGAGGTGTAAGGTGCCTATAAATAAGAAGGATGTCTCATTTGTAGGAATCATTGGGAAGTTTCCTTGTAAAGTAGTCGAGTCTATAATAGAAGCTTTCTTTCTTACTTCGTAGCATTCCTTATCGCATCTCTTATTATCCTAGTCGTTAGTACATCATAAGGAAGTGTTCCAAGCCTAACTTAGTCAAAGAAACACTAAGTGGCACACGGTGATTGAGTCATCCCGTGACAGCACGCTTTTATACCACATAGGTTATAGGTTATTGGCACCCGAATTGATTATTTTGTACCGTAAAAAATATGATTCTTTTTGTTATTGCGGTGAATACTCAACATTCTGTTTTTAGAATGCTAGTGCATACCTTCTTAATTTGAAGATAATTATGTTTATTTTATTGATAAACACAAAATACTTCATTTCTGGGAATCTGTAGCCTATAAAACTTGTGATTAGTACAAACTCAAAGATTCGTGAGCAATTCACTATCGATCAAGATTGACCGGAACACATGATTCCGGCAACGAAATCTATTATGGGTGGCGGAGGATCATCGACCAGAGCCTTAATGTCAAGATAATGACACACATCTTTAAATTCCGCCAAGCTCAAGCAAGGAAAAGAATACCGACACCAAAACCCACAAGGCACAAACCGTCGGAATCCTAATAGACGAAGAGAGGTGTATATAAAGTGCAGGATGCCCGACCCGATTACAAATCGACTCAAGAAACTTAATTTGTTGAAGTTTTCAAAACCCAAAGGAGTTGCAGGTTAGGAAGTAGAAAAAGATGGTGATTTTGTTGACATTTTTTTAATGGTTTTAGTGATGGAATGATAATCAAATTGAATTAATCTTTGCCTTTTGATTTATATCCAGGAGAAATCTTGTTTTTATATTTGAAGAGTCTAAACCAATTAAGTCATCAAGAAAGCCTTTTTAAGTTGGATGCCAAAAAAAACAAAGATAAATTCTCAAAATGTATGTGAGAGGATGATAAAGAGAAAGCAACCCTTTAATTGATAAAGAATAGAACCCTGAGTTCTTTCAAATACTTAAACTAGTATTCACTCAAATCTTCAAAGTTAAAACACACAAACATAACTACAAGTTCGACAAGCCAATCCATGAAAAATATAAAACTATTTATAGGAGTTCTTACCTGCAAGATGTGAGCTAGCTCACAATCATTGCTTTCTGGATGGTAGTTGCTGCTAGGGCAAGCTCATGATCATTGACATTCACTGACGGCATGAGGCCAAGGACGTTCTCGTGGTAGTTGACCAACAATCCTAGTTCTTTGCAGGTGCGTGCCACACCAGCAGCATCTCCTTCAATTCAATGGCCAAAATTAGGTCAAAGCTTTGATTCCTACCACTTGAGGATGTGTACCAACAGTTTGCAACAATGCTTCCTTTAAATGTTCCCCTTTCATATTCACCTTTATCACTTTATGGAGTGATTGCGGTCAGAAACTTGGAGAAGCACCCCTGCAGCCTCAAAGCACCTCAACGGTTTTGGTATGTCGAATAGAAAAGTACTTGTCAGCATCGGCAATTGAGTTTTGGATTAATGCGGCTCCTATTTTGATCTCTTTATCGAAATTCATCATCATCACATCAGGTTTAATCCCAAAGGAAGTGTGTGCCCATATTGGACCAGTCTGTCCCAAGGCACATATTGTCTGAAAATAAAAGAATAGGTTATGATACAAAAAGTTTTTCAATGATAAATGTTGAAAAGATTGCTTACCTCATCTATGACTAGAAGTGTTTGCGATATGCCCGCACATGTAAACGTGTAAAACCCCTCAGATCACCTACACCTTGGATGGGATCCAAAAACATCATTTTGTATTGCCCATCAGATATCCGCTTGACCAAGTTGTTAATGTCAAGTTGCCCTTTAGAGTCAAGGGGTGGTAGAACATCATCCCGTAAGTTAGGAGTTAACGAAACATAATCATTGCTCGGGTTTGGTCGATCAGCTTGGATTATGTCGGAACACATTTGAATGTCGCTCTTTGCTTTCAGTGCAACCATCGGTGAGGCTTTGTACATGACCATCAGACTCTCGAAACCATGTTGATACTCTATAGATATTAAGTTAACAAATCAAAACCAATTAATTCAAAATGCTTTTGGAGATACTAATCAATGTTCATAAGTAAACTATTGCAAATAAAGAAAATAGAATATCAAATCAATGATTCAGTAAGTTAATAAACAATAAATATGAATCAATCACTTATCCAAATGTTCACCAAACTTGTTAGCAAAATTAAAACAATCTTCAAGAAGTTAGTATGCAAATCAAATCAATGGATCTAATAAAATTTGTAGCATAACCACAAAATAGATCAAAATCATAACCAAATCAATGTTAAAAAGCTTTTCACTTATAAATCAAATAGAAAAATCAATCATCTACGAATCAGGAAAATCAAAGAACCTAACATATAAAAACAATTGATCAATATCAATGCTAATCAACTAGGAGCTAGGAGCTATGAGAATCAAATTGCACTTTACAAAATGAGACAATAATAAACAAATACCCGCACAGGATCCCAGGAAGACAATCCTCCATTAAAGGTGAAATCTATCAACTTATCTCGTTCTCCTGCAGCTGCATTAATCACTAACCTTTTCCACCGGTGCTGCATTGTAAACGAAGGGATTGCGCTCAACATCATGCCCTACATTTTTGCTATTATGAGATTCAAGGGTTTTTTGATATGAGATTCAAGGGTTTGTGATACGAACATTCAAATGAATATATCTATTTCTCCCAACGCAACACAACGCAACTGATTCTGACGACGTCATTCAGTAGTGGCTGGCACTGGTAGTGGTGTTTTAATTCCCTCCTTTTTCCTTATTATAATTTTTTTTAAACCTTTCACAAAGTATTTTACAATTATATATGGTGTGGTGTTAAATGGTAACTTAAAATTGTTTTTTTTTTTTTGATAAATACTAATGAATAAGTGTTACTTACATAAAATATAACACTTATTTTACTCTTTTTATAAATATAATTCGTTAAGAGAATTATAAGAAATGAAAATTTGTGAATATAAATAGTATATGCTTCTTATATTATGAGTTTAATTGTAAATCTATGTATGATACATATCCACTTAGGCGCATAGTGCCTAGGTGGCACACATGTCTGCTAGGCAACACCACACCAACGTTTTAAAAATCGGTTTTTTAGTTGAACCGGTACGGTAACCTGTTTTCGGTTCAACCAGTTTGACCACTGGGTCAACCGCTTTCTATGATTTTCATTTTTTTTCTATTTCCGTAGACATACATACATACATAAATCAAGAATTCGATATTCATAAGTTCACACATCGAAAACAAACATAAAAACAAATTATAGATCAATCGAAATACATTAAAATAAAACATAATCATAAGTTTTACATCAATCCACATATATCAAAAAGAAAATAAAGTATAATACCGAAACAAAATATAACTTCAGATTAATACAAACACATTAAAAAACAATAATAACATTTACGATATGTTTTTATTTAGAGAAATCTAAATAAATGTGAAAAGGACCACCAATGTTGATTATGCAAAATGGTTGTTTTTTATGTGTTTTTATTCAATTTAACCGATTCAACCGGGTTTTTTATAAAACCGGCCGGTTCATTCCGATTCAGAAATAGACATAAAATTGATGGTAGTTGAACCGCTCCCCTCCCCGGCTCCCGGTCCAACCGCTTCGATCGGCCGGTTCAAACCGGTTTTTAAAACATTGCACCACACTACTTGGTAGCTGCCATGTGTGGTGAAGCAGTGCAGTCATGGCGGCCTCGTGCGTCTCATCTTGCCCTTCCCTTATTTTTCCACCAATGCCATTTTCCCAATGTTTTAAAAACCCATTTGAACCGGTCGGTTGGACCGGGAACCGGGGAAGGGAGCGGTTCAACTATAATCGGTTTTATGCCTATTTTTGAATCGGAACGAACCGACTAATTTTTAGAAAAACTCGGTTAAACCGGTTAAATTGAATAAAAACACATAGAAAAGAACCATTTTGCATAGGGTTGTTGACATAAAACCCCTAATTTTACACACAAAAAAACGGTTATGCCCAAAGTCGAATTTTTTTTGCCACAGATGCCTCAATACCGGAAAATTTGTTCGATTTTGTACTTTACCCTGATTTTCTTCTTAACACAAAGAAGCCCCCATCACATATGTGTAGTCGGCCACCACCACCACCATCAACAGCCGTCTCCGACTCCATCACCACAAAGCCTTCAATATGAATCGAAGCGAGTGTGGTCAGTCAAAGCCCAACAAACTTCTTGGTGTAACCTCCATATCTTCAATAATAATTGACTACGGTTATTATATTGGTCGTAAAATAACATATTATATAATCGGTAAGATTTCGTATTTATATATTATAATACCTAGCGGGTGTACCCACGCTCCGCGTGGGGCAGAGGGTATGTTTTTGATCTGTAAATTTCCAACTGCTTGAAAACAAATAAGAATAAAAATAGATTTAATCAGTAGGACTTTGAAATTGTACATAAATTTAGGGACACCCAAACATCCCACAAACACACACATATCACAGATGCACGTAGATACATACTACAAACACACACACATCACATACAGAATACTGTGTTGACCATTTTAAAGTGTTTTCTATTGTTTTAAGACCGTTTTGCCCCCCTGCTTGGTGTTTTCTTTAGGTGCTAACTTTGATGGTCTCAAGTTCTTTCTAATGTAAATTAGGAATACATTATAAACAATCCATTTATAACCGGTAAAATCTATAAAAATGCAGTTATTTACTGTTATGAATAGATAGTGGTCCAACTTTACATAGCCTACCTACAAGGAGAAAAATCAAACCCTGAGTTCGTATAAACTAATTCTTGATTTTGACCTGAAAAACAGAATCCAATTCACAGTATAAAAACAACCAGCTCAAGTCAAGAATATTCAAATAAAACGGAAGACATAAAACCCGGCAACCCTTTAAACACAGCCAGCCCACCTGCAGTCCTTCCCACTTTACCCCTACCTCCTCTTCAGTCCAACAGCAACAACAATCCATGCCAACCTCAGACGAAATTTTTTATATAATATTTCTCCTGCAAGATCAGTTATTTTTACTATAAGTCATCAATCTTTATTATTCCATATTAGTTAGAAACAGTTTTATGTACTAAAACCTGAAAAGCTATACCAAAATATTGGCACCAAGGCTTGTTCCAACAACATATATAGGAATATCAAATTATTTGTGATATAGATGATGGACCACTTCGCCTACATCATCTGATTTTTCCTGTAGTGTAGAAGCAGTTTGAACAATGGAACATCCTCAAAGTTGAAAAGAAACAACCGCAAATATTATAAAACTAAAAAAACAATTATGACAATTTATACTGTTCATAACCAGGTGAAATTGTTTGGGTTATGTACAAAATGAAATATGAAACTACACCTATGAATGGTAATAAGCAATATACATACCAATATGAATATAATATACAAACCAATATGAATGCAAACTAATATCACAAAAAAAATTTATATCAGTAATAGATTACTGAAAAGAATAAATTTAAAATAAAATCATTATAAAAATTTATATCAGATTACTGAAACTTTACTGAAAACCACACAAACCATCTCCAACCTACAATCTAAAAAAGGTTTCATCAATGTAAAAAAAAGGGAAAAGGGATGTGGTTTTTTTTCTTAGCGAACCTCATGTTAATTGGAGAGCTCCAACTCATAATCTGTATAAGGCCTGTACCAAATTGTTGGATTAGTGAGCCCATTTCCAATGGCAAATCCCTATACAAACTCATAATGTCAATACACAAACTCAACATATAAAACCAATATTTATTAAAAAAAGCCTATAGGTTGTGTATCCCTTCCAGAAATCGATTTGCATCAATACCCTTTTCTATATTCTTTTGAAATTAATATGACAGTTTGAACATCTTGATGAAATCATTTCCAAATATATCTTCATTCATGTTAAATTTCCAGAAATTGATTTGCTGAATGCAGTGTTTTTCAAACATTATATGTTTTCAGATATGCAACAGGAAAACAATTTCTGTGAGACTTTTTTGTGGGTTTTTCAGATAAAAAATAAGAAATAAGGTTCAGTGTCAAGCATTTCGTTGAGGTGTTGGTGACCTACATAGTTACGAATTAAAAAAGGATATCCAAATTGGTTGATTATGACTCACAAAACCTTAAAGCATTATAATTCGAATAACTTGTATGATAATAGTAACAATTCAATCCAGGGAAAAGGAGATGAAGTGCACATCTCTCAAAATGTCATCTACCATCAAATTTTCAGAGGATTTCCAATCTTTCTACTTTATCATATTCTCATTTTACACAACTAAATGTGTGTGAAAATTTAATGTACATAAAGAAAATTTAAGTAAACAAAAGGGATAAACTTGTAACCTTATTCATGTATTCTGTGTCCTCATCTCTAAAAGCCTTCACCATCAAACCCTCATCAAGCTCCGCCTTCTGCTCATAGTATATCAAGTAAACAACAACAATAAAAAGTTAAGTGGATGGTGAAAGAAAGCAGAAAAAATTTAAAAAAAAAAATCAAAATAAAGCCTAATGAATAAAAAATACCTCTTGCTTCACTGATATCTGTTGCATACGGTAGATAAAAGTAGCCGATGGTAGAGAGAATTATTTGAAACCTAAAAAAAACATATAAAAGCACAAATTTTAAGCCATATTAATTTAAATCAAAAAAAGCTGGATAAAATCTACTGAAAGAAGGAGGGTTAGGGTTCAATACCCATAGTCGATTGTTGATTGAGCAATTGGAAACGAACAGAAGGGAAAAGAAACGTCGATGGGTCGCCGATTCTCAAATTGATTTAAATCAAGAAAAGCAGAATAAAATCAACTGAAAGAAGGAGGGTTAGGGTTCAATACCCATAGCCGATAGCCGATCGAGCAATTGGAAACGAACAGAAGGGAAAAGAAAAGTCGATGGGTCGCTGATTCTCAAACGATTTGTAAAGGTAATCGATTTCTGCGGAGGGCGATGAGAAAAGTGAAAGTAAAAGGTCGGCCGACGGTATTATCGGACGGTGTTGACGGATTCATTACCAGAACGGTGGAATGATCTGGAAGACTTTATGAGGCCGGAGGGATATAGACTCCAATGGAAGAAAAATGTAGAAATATCCAGAAACAAAAAAGCGGTGGCTGGTGGTTGGCTGATCGGTGGTTATTGTTTCTAAGGGAACACAAAATTAATATATACAAAGAATTAGTCGACGATATATTTTATAAGTGATGATTTTTATTATTTTGAAAATTATTAGTTAAGGTGAACGTTCATATATATTTATATTATGCATTACTTTAAACAATATGTATTATATATATACATTTTCTATATCATTCTCCAAAGATAATATATACTAACGGCACAAGTTAAAAGTACGATACTATCTTTAAAATGAATGGATTTTAGTAAAAAAAAATACTAAATGTCTATATTAAAGATAAGAATATATCATATAGATAAATAAGTAAAAATGGCAAAATGCAAGTATATATAAAGATTATATAACTTTAAATCATTATGGATGTAAATGGTGGCAACATATGTAAACCAGGTGTTAGTTTATAAAAGAAAGATATTAATTAGTTAAGGTATATATATATATATATATATATGATGAGAATTCATTGAATTAAGATAAGAATAATACGTATGTGTATTTGTTTGGATAAGTATATCCAAAAACCAATTAAGAAATAAAACGTAAGTATGTAGGTGTCAAACGATGAAGAAATTTGTATTAAATTTTATGTGCGGTATCCTTATCATGCTTTATCATGCTTCACAAATTTAGTACAAACTAGGTGTGAGACCCATGTATTACATGGGTTCATTTATAAGAAAATTTAAATAAAAAATTTAAAATATTTGAAAAGTTTGAACTTATAAGAAAACTAAAAAAATTATATTAAATTATAAAAGTTAAAGGGTTTTTTTTTTCTCTTTTCAATTTAAACAAATAACTTAGATAAATAAATGAAGGAAATTAATGAAACTTTAATTTAGTAATTTTGAAATTAGAAGGAAAGTCCATTAATGAAATTGATATGCATTTATTATTAGATTTAAATCATATGTGGAATTTAATAAAATAGAAAAAAAATCATAAAATGACATGTGGAATAAAAATTAATTTAAAATAATCATAAAATTACATGTGGCAAAATGAATAAGAATATGACATGTGGCATAAAGATCTTTATTTATTAGGGTAGATATCGACATGTATGTGTGAATTTCTATTCATTTACGTCTACTATAATCAATAAGTAAATTTAGAAGGAATGAAGGGATATCTTGGAAAGCAATAGAGGGAGGGATACATCTATTATATCTGGTGAGTGATCTCACTATACTATGTATTACAATATATATCCATGTATGTTAGAATAGAGAGCTAGCAGAGTAAAAATATAGTATTTATGTGCTTTATGATTTTATACCCGAGTTATTGAGTAGAGCCGAAAGTATAGTCTCCATGTGCTTATTGTTACTGTACTTGAAATAGTAGAATAGTGTTGAAAGTGTAATCTCTATGTGTTTAAATGTTATTATATTTAAGTTATTACGGTTAAGTTAGGGGTTGACGGCAGAACGGCGACAGGTCGGGAGCCTATAGACCCATGTGTTGACGACGAAATGGCAGGTTGGTCGTAAGTCTAGATACACATATTATTGGTGGATCGGCGAAAGGTCGTGAACCAATTGGTGGATCGGCGATAGGTCATGAGTCATTGTTTGTATGCATGTATATGTATTGTGATATATGGTATCCTGAGAAACTCACTAAGCCTCAGCTTATAGTTGTTGAATAACTATTTTTCAGGTTGTTCTTCTGATCATGGAAAGGCTCCAGCGTGACTGTACTCGCATCGAAGAAATTAATAATGTTTTTAGACATCCGATAAAACTCTCTTTTATATTTAATAAATGTATGACAATGATCTTTTAATAAAGATGAGCTTTTGGATTTGTGTTATATATATATATATATATAATATATATATATGATATATATATTATATATATATATATATATATATATATATAATGAACAATTTTGTATTGAAAATCGGGACGTAACAAGTTGGTATCAGAGCCCTGGTTTGAGAAAATTGGATGAACATTCGTGTGATTCCAGACTCAAACCGAGGATCCGAATATCCTAACAAATCTTTTTAAGAAAAAGAACTTTATTCAAACAAAAAAATATGGTGCGTACAGTCAGCCGGAGCTCAGAAAGGAAAATGATTCCCAAAATATCCATATTTTTTATGTCTGTTGATATATGAAATGGTAGAAATGCATGCTAGCATGTAGGCTAAGGATCTTTTCAGTAATTGTGTGTTAGAATTTCATGATACTTAAGATGCCCTATAGTCTAAGGATTTACTTATCAATTGCTACTTAGAACCTATATTAATATTAATTAGTTATGTGACAAATACGATAAGTTGCATGCTCCCAGAATTAAATAGTTTCAGATTGTCTGATTTAGCGTTATTGCGCAACTCTTGTCTGAGTCCAACTGTTGTAGTGCCAGATTTTTCAGTCGACGGACTGTTTGATTTTAGAGGCATGCAATCGTATTCATCAAATAATTAGTTAGTATTAGTAAAAGTTCTTCCTCCGCAAGTAGTAGGGTAAAATGGAAGTAATCCTAGAACGAGAGTCTAGGAAATTTAATATATGCTTAATAGGGCGTATATTCCTGCGGTAGGGCATCGGTAAAAATGCAAAATCCTACTGGATTCTAACAATATATTTTGTATGTGCTTGTTAAGACACATGCATATATCTTTAGTGGCCATCATGCGTAGTGTTGGAAAGTGACATGGAAACTTTGGGAAAACTTTTGGGACACGCATGAGTAGGTGTGAAAGGTAGTAGAGGCCTATACTACCCGAAGCACAAGACTCGCACTTGTATTAGGAAGAGTCGCAAAGGTACTAAGGCACTGGTAGATAGTGTAGCTAACACTATAAAATTCCTTTGCGTTGGCATTACCTGTTGTACAGTGATGTTTAGAAGAGTGAATCTAAGTTCGGGCCCAAGTAGGAATAAAATATCGAGTTCGGAAAAAAATAAATTTGCTTAAGAGAGTGGGTTCTAAGAACTTTGTCTGACATAGAGCCAACTTTAGTCACGAGATTTAAGAATGAGATGATCATGGTGATCGACAGAAGAATTGTAGCCCTAGTTGGGGCGAAGTAACTGGCGGCTAGATTTGCTACTTGTTATGGTGTGGTTGTATGTCGAGCTCTCATAATCCAAGGAAGAAGGATCAAGCTTTTGATATAGGGAGAATAAAAGAGAAGGAAGGTGTCTTCTATACCAGTTTGTGTCTCATAGAGACAACAATTTAACTGGTTATGAATCTATTTAGAACAAAAGGTTATCAGGTTATGATCGCTAAGTTTGTTACTGTAGCTGAGATAGATACCATGTCATAAGACGGGTTAGGAAGGAATGTGTGTGCATAATGGAAGTTGAGTTAATGAATCAAAAAAATGGGACTAAAGGTCTATCGGAGGATAAAAGAACATGTGTAGGTCCAGGAACCTCCATCGGCAATAGGTTCAGACCGATAGATTCTTGCTCGGGAAATTAGAGAAGTGTCATTCGTTGTAGAGAGCTTAAAAAGGCACATTCGAGTGTCTTCGGTGTGTTTGTATCCCGGTGTTCCGAAAATGGTTGAGATGACCATTACAAGAAGGTCAATGGGAAGACGATAAATCGATTGTTCCAGACAGCAATAGGAGGGTATTAGATTCAACAATCGTCGTTGTTATTAATGTTTCGACTAAGTTAGCTATATCCACTTGTACCCTTAGTTATACATGTACATCGATGCATTTCTTGACGACGTTGTGCTTGGAAAAACTTCGAAGTGTTTTGGTCTGTGATACGAGGAGATCACTTGTGGTGAATACAAGTAGTAGTACTATGATGGAAATATCAAAGTTCATTGGATATGAAAAACATGAGTTTCTTCAAAGTCAAAAGGAGATACATATAGCATTGGAAGAGCAAGTTTGGATCGGTGATGGGTAGCAGTCGAAGATGGGTCAAACCCAAGTTGGGGAGAATCGACCTCTGAAGCGAGAGTGCAAAAGGAAGTTTGACTTTTGGTTTCAACGACAAAATTCTAGGAGAGTTGTGACACAAATATGTGGGAAGTTATTCGTTTCGGTTTAATTAGAACGTGTAAAAGAAGAAGAGAGTCTTTTGCAAGAATACCCATAGGATTATATGTTTCTCAAAGTGGTTCTCAACGAATGGTTGAATTTTCCTTTTTAGCGTTAGGTAGAGTCCAGGAGTTACCAAATCCCCATGTTCGGCTCAGATGGCCAAGAAAACCATATAGGTTCCCGTGTTCAAGGATATAGGATTTATCCCTGCAGCATAGGATCCATTTGACTAGAAATTCATTAGGTCACTTAGTTCACTATAAAGAGCATCGAATACCTTTGTGTAAAAAAGGATGGTCCATTCAAGACATATACTAGATTTAGAGAGTTTGGGTTAGCTACAGTAAGGATCTAGTGATCCTATGTCAAGGATTAACGGTAGTAAAAGCGACAACAGAGGTGAGTGCGTTTTCTTTACGGATCACTATTTGAGGTGTGTATAAGTAAGACAAGAGACGCCTAGGAAACGATCGTTTGAAAAAGGGATGTGTCCATTAAAAAAGGTAGTAATACCTTCCAAAGTTTAATAATGTATCAACAGTATACATAATAGGATTGGTGAATCGAATTATTGATCCATACGCGACCAGTTAATCTTGATGTTATCGGTAGCTGTGAGGATAACTAAGGACCCCTATAATGGATTAGTAAGGTTCATATAAAGAAAAAAAAATCCTCGTTAACACCTGCGTAAGAAGTTTTAGTTGCTGGAGATTCAGCTACGGAGACGCCTCGCCAGTGCAAGTGCGATTGTAGTAGTAAAAAGTTCAACCTGCAAGCGACAAGAGGATCCAAGGATTTCCTTTGGGAGTTAGAATGATAGTGAAGTTGCAGGATATCGTCAGAACTTGTTTAAGCTCTCCAAGTTTTCTGGGATGCAAATTTCGATTGACAATAAAGGACACCTAAGATCGAAATAAGATAGAGTAAGTTCCTAGGTACATATGTTCGATTGAGGGTCACGTTCGAGTGCGACTATGCATGCATCTAGTGATGCGG